CCCTTCCCCTGCTAGTGGCACAGAAGACAGGGAATGGGGTTACAGTCAGTTCACCATTGCCTCTCTTCACAGCATGAAAGTCCATTAACAAGATGTTCCAAAGTGAGCTTCCCATTGAGTAAAGGAAGCTCTTTGGGCTTAGTTCCTGGCTCCAGTATGGGAATGTCCACAGGCTGTAGATGGGTCCCGGGTCCAGCACACCTCCTCACCCCCTGGCTCTACAGGTCTACCCCTGCTCTGGCAGCAAGTGTCTCTGGGGTCTTAGTACAGTCACACTTGCCCTCAGGCTCAGCCCTTCTGCTCCAGCATGAAGTTCTCCATGGTCTACATGTGGGTATCTGCTCTGCCATTAAACCTCCATGGGCAGCAGGGGACCTCCTTTGCCTTCTCCTACTCCATGCAGTTGAACTGGGTATCTGAGGTTCTCTGTCCTCTCCCTCCTTCTTCTTCCTCCTGGCAATGAAGCTCTCTCTGTGTAGGCCAATGGTTGTCTTTTGTTCAGGTCAATGGCCCCTCCTCCAGGTTTTCTTCACCTTATTTTCAAGACAGTCCTTCCCGTCACAAACACGAATTTGCAGAGGTGTTTCTCCATTGCTAATTGGCTCAGCCTGGGCTGGGAGCTGGGGGTGCATGCCTTGGAGCCAGGCTTATCACAAAGTGCCCCTTCACCCACTACCAAAAATGCCTTCCACTCCCACACACACAAAGCCAACACATGCAAGAAGGGTTGTCCCACGTCATGTGAGCTCTTGCAATAAGTCTAAATGTCAGTGCAGCAAAGTAACTTCACACTAGCTTGGTGACCTGAAATGGTTTGCATGGGAGTCAGATGTACGCTAAGGACAGCACAACATAGCGTGCAGAACTGTGCAGTCAGAGCAGTGGCAAGGAAGCAGGACTACCTAAGTTTTTTGGTGCCAGTAAACATCGATTGGCTCAGCCTTATTTATGAAACGGCATCCTCAGCATTAGTCTCTTCTGCAGGCTAGCGACAGTTATGGTGTATCTTTTTTCTTGCTAGTATAGTCCAGAATTGGGAAGCCACTCTGGCTTTGGTGACCTCCAAGTGGTTTTCTTTTTCTCTGCCTATCATGTCACATAATTTACTCCACCTCAATCTAACCCAATCTAACCAGCTTACATGCTCAGCTGGTTAAATAGGAACACAGGGTACAGACCCTTTGGGGAATTCTGGAAAATGGTATGCAGTTATATGCAAGATACAGATTCAAACTAGAAGAGGTACAGACAAAGACTACTAGGGTGACCAGTCTGGAAGACAGTCTTTCTTAAAGGGAAGAAAATAGGAAAAAAAAAATAATAATAAAATCATTGTAGCTTCCTTAGCTCTTTTCCTTGGTTTTACATTTATCATCTCACCGTATTTTTAGATTGCAGCTATATGAGTCTTGAGATGAATACTACACGATTTAAGCTAAAGGTCAGCAGCAAAATTCTGTCATAAAAAAACTCAACAAACCTGCCTATGGATTACTTTATAATGGAAATTAAAAGCAGGCTGTTAAGCAGAAAAGTAAAACTCTACATTATGATTTCAAAACAAACAAGAACAGCTTTAAGACCAAGTTTGGTCAGTCTCCAAATGGTTTGATAAATAGATGAGTACAAAATCTAAGACTTGACCCAGTGGCCAAAATCAGTTCTTCCAATACTTCTTTACTCATTTACCCTAACTAAATTGTTCAGAAATGCAGCATGTATCTCTATGCTTGGCAATAAGAATAACCAAAGTATACCAAAAAGAAAAAAAAAGAAAAAAAAAAGAAGAAAAAAGCTGGGAATTCATACAGATATGAAAAGGAATAAACTCTAAGCAACATTCCTGCAAAGTCTATATTAAATACAATGAAAATCTTTAAGAGCTTTGATCCTGTACAATTAATGCTTGTCATATGAACTTGTCAACTTCCATTAAAAACAATTCAATGACAGAAGTCTACTCAACCCACCTAACTGCCCTTGCATGCATACCGCCAAAACCCAACAGAATTGAACTACTGCTAATTAAAAATCGTGAACTGGAGAACAAACTTTTTCAGGCTCCAGAAATATATATACCTTAGACTCTTGAACAGGAGATGAAAGGAGGGAAAACACTGGAGCATTCTGTCTGGAAATCACAAATAAAAAGACGGTTGTGGATGACCAAGGATACACACAAAGACATTAGAATACTGCTGCTTCTTGGAGTGCTGAACCATACAGTTAACACCTACTGAAGGCTGCCTAATCATAATGAACTTGTCTGATTACTTTATACTCTACCATATCACAACTACAAGGTATTAAAATCAAATCAAATTAAAAATGGAAATCAACAGAATACTAGGCTGAAGATGGTAGTTTTTCTTTACAGTTAAGATTGGCTAATGCTTTTTCTTATGAGGTCTTTCAGCTGCTCAGAACACTGCCAGTCTTATCTGACATTAAGTTTTATATGGCTAGATGCATCTCATTGAATTTTTGTGCAATAGGAGGATGCCACCAGGGTAATATATAGCTACACCGGGAACCTGGGGGTATACTTGTAAATTAGTTTAATTGTTGTAAGATGCAGACAAGAACAGAACAGAGTGGTGTTCTCTGCTGAAGAATCACATCACTGTCAGGGAAGATTAATCATCTAAACTTTATAAAAAACCCCGTACCTTTCACTACATAAATACTTTATAAGTCTGCTTCCTGCAGCCATAACTCAAAAGCTTCTTTTATGAAAGCATGGCAATAAATATATTACATGTCCTTACTACAGAAGAACATAAACTGTTGTTGGAACTTCACCAGGCTGAAATGAAGATAGGAAATTTGCTATGATAATTCCATTGGTCCAAGCCATTTTGTAAGTGCACATGGAGTAAAATGACCACTACTGGGTCTGCAGGTGAACAGTAATGGTTAGTAAATGAAGACTTATTCCAAAATAACTGCATAACAGAGCAATTATTTTGGAACAGCATCTACGCAGAGGGTAATTCCATGTATTTAGAGCACATGATCTTACTTTATTACAGATATGACAGCCAGTTTCACTACGCAGACAAGTTTCCTTTTTCTTTGTAGAACCATCTTAAAAATCCCTTTTACTAAAGGTCTGCCAGAGCTTTTTATGATACCCTGCCATTTGTCTTCAACATATGAATTAGTTTCAGAAACATATTAATTAGTTCCAGCTTCACTGCATACTTGGGAGATAGCACACCTATCTGAAGGGGCAGAGAAGGCTGGCTGCATCTCTTGGAAGCAAGCCTTGATCGCAGAGCAATATTTCATGTCTCATGAAATGTCTCATGTAGCTGTTAATAAAAGAAATAGTCATGCTCTAGTCGTGGGCCCATGTATACCCTTCTTGTATGTACTGTAAAAAGACTGAAAAGGAGGAAAACCTCAGTTCTGTCATGTGAAAGCAACTCTTTTTTTAAAATCTTAAAATCAAAATAAAACATCCAAAATTAAATGCTCCCAATATTAAAAACTAGGACTATCCAATCTCATTTTCACTGTTCTGGGATAAAGCTGCTCTTTTACAATACACCAAAATGTGTTTAAACTCCACAAACTGTTTCCAATAAATACATACAAATCAGGAAGTGCTTTGGTGTATTAATTTCCTACATACTATTTCAGGAAAGCAACTGTTTCCCACATGATGGAAATAGATATTATGGCTACCTGTACAAATAGGTGTGTTTGTTTTTTTCATACTATGGGGTAAAGTCCAGTGGTAATATCCTTGTTTCTCACTGTATGTTCTCCTATACTTTCAGTTACTATATGCTATCCTAAGCAGTCCCCTGCAAGGACGCTTTAAAATACAACCGTGAATGCTGAAGATCTTTAAAACAAGTCAAACCAACTATATCTATGTAACAGCTGAACACACGGACGTTTTATTCTGATGATGATATGACTATTTCAAAACCAACTGGGGATGCCATTAAAGCAAGAAATTTCAGAGTGCTTTAAAAATAGTTTCAGAATGTCCACATAACCACACAAGTATCCAGGTTATCACAGCCTTACTGAGAACCCGACACTAACAGAAGTAGCTAAGACCAGTAATTTCTAATGAACATGGTTTTGCTTTTGTTGCCACAGTATCCTCATTTTGAATACTATTTGTTTTCCAAACAGAAATTACTTCCTCCTATCTGTGCTATCACTCTACTCACAAACCATAAAAAGTGTCAGAACTTGGGTCTCTGCAACCGAAGCACCAAACAGCATCAGTGCTTTATCAAAGGCTTCAGGCCACTTGCTCATCTGTCTTCTGAAACTGCCCAACTGGAATTAAATATAGAGGCAAAAGTTAAACAACTAAGTGTTAGTGTGAACATCTGAGTACTATTCTATAGTACTCAAATGCAGAGCATTCTATACTTCTTTAAAAACAAAGACACTGCTTAGCCCATCAGGTAACCTATGATACAGATTTGGTACAAGCACAGTTCCAAGTGCAAGCATCAGTTTTCCTAATTTTTCTAAACTGTTCCGCAAAAAAATTAGCAGAAAACAGTATACTTCAGTTTTACATGTAGCATGAAACCCTGACTGGTTAAAATACGTCCAAGGTTTTACTTTTCTTAGTATTTTTGACTACTTCTTTGGGCTGTCATTCAATGCTATCATAATACAATATTAAGTTTTTGACATTACATAGCAGAAAGCACTGAATAATCTTTCATTAGCAACACAAGAAAGCGATTTGTAACTGAATCAGTTACTGTACAGGTGACTGTAGATGCAGGGTCCACACAGGTCAACAGCATCTAACAGACGCACTAGTTACATTAGGAAACATAGCAAGTGTTCTCAATACGCAGGGTCTAGACCCTGAAAACAAAGCGTATTACCAAGGGGAGTGCATAAGACTGATTAACATCTTGCTGCAAAAAAAGTCAGACTCACAGCTGGGCTTAGCAGCAGCCTCCATCTAAGAAAACAAAAAGAGATGGAATCTGAAACACACTGCCTTGCTCCAAATGCTCTACATTTCTGAAGCGGCATATGACTGACTAGCCAAAGTTAGCTGACAGAATGGAGCAGCTTCTGTTTGGCTTGCCAAGCATCACCACAGCAAATGTGCCTACTTAGTAC